ACACTCTTGCTCGCTTGCAGGCTCATTTCCAGCCTACGGTGAATGTGGTCGCCGAGCGCTACAGATTTCGTCAACGGGCTCAACGGACTGATGAGCCTGTGGAACAGTATGTCAGTGCCTTACGTCAATTGGCAGTGACATGCGACTTCAGATCACTTGCCGACGAGATGATTCGGGACCAGTTGGTGGAAAAAACTAGCTCATCCAGGATTCGTGAACGATTACTCCTTGAACCAAAGCTTACCCTGTCTTCCGCGTTGACTTTGAGCCAGGAAATGGAAGCTGCTTTTCGCGAATCTAAGTCGATTTCCAGTGCTGCAGCCAGTGCCACACCTCAAGCTTCAGATGGGACTGCACATGCTACACAGTTCAAGCGAAAATCCAGTGCCAAGCCCCGTCGTCAGTCACATACTCCACAGGCACGCGGTAAGCTTACTTCTTCTGCACAACGTACGCCTACTGTGGAAGTCCTGACCATAAAGCTAACTTTGCTAACTGTAAAGCTAAGAATGCAGAGTGTTCCAAGTGCAACAAAAAGGGACACTTCGCTCGTGTCTGCAAGTCATCTGGGCAAGTAAGGCAGCTCGATTTTGAGGGGGATGACAGTGACACTGATGAATTGCATGTACTTACGGTGCATAGCCTTGGCACTTCTCGTTCCAGCAGCATTACATGTACGCTTACGCTGGGTAGTGACATCAAGGTGCCTATGATTTTCGATACTGGTTCACCAGTCTCCATTCTGCCTCTTGCCACATTTGACAAGTATTTCCTACGCGAAGCCTTGATACCCCCTCGTGCAAAGCTCACTACATACCTCCACGAGCCGATTGAAATAAAGGGCTGTTTCCGTACATCAGTTTGCTTCGGTGACAGTAACCGTGTTCCTGCAGAATTCTATGTTGCTGCATGTGGAGATTCAATTCTCGGACTTGATATTATCCGCAGTCTTTCGCTCACGTTCAAGCAAGACAAAGTCATGCACGTCCCTGTCAACAAGACGTCATGCTCACCTACATCTACGACACCTCCACCTGCACCTACCGGTACGCCTATAAGCCTACCCACTGGACATTCGGAACGGTATGTACATTCCATTCGTGATTCATTCCCTGACCTTCTCAAGGGAAAAGTGGGTTTGGCCCGTGGTTTTGTCCATCGCGTGAAGACACGACCTGAAGTTCGTCCAACTCAACAGAGATTGAGACGATTACCCTTTGCAGTTTGCGATCAGGTCAAGGCAGAGCTCCTGCGGTTGGAAAGGGAGGACATAATAGAGCGAATTGACGCGAGTGAATGGGTATCGCCCATAATTGTCTCCTACAAAAAATCGAGTGGAATTTGCATATGCGAGGACTTGCGACAAGTCAACCAGGCAGTAGTCATCGACAAATTTCCACAAGCGAGTTTGCTTCGGACTTGCATCTGCCCCAGCCGCTTTCCAGAAGCTCATGAGCACCGTATTGGCTGGGCTACCAGGTGTTCAGTGTTACCTGGATGATGTAGTATGCTACGGGCGCACCCAGGAAGAACATGATAGACATCTCAATACAGTTCTCCAATGCCTACAGCACTTTGGACTGACTCTGAATCCGAGTAAGTGCCAGTTCAACCTTCCTTCACTTCGCTTCCTTGGGCACGTGGTGTCAGGTAATGGATTACAGCCTGACCCTTCTCATGTTGAGGCAATTCTTCATGCACCATGCCCCAGGGATGTCCCTACACTACGCTCTTTCTTGGGGTTGGCCTCATACTATGCTCGATTTGTGCCAAATTACTCCACAGTTATTGAGCCCTTGCGTGCTCTAACTCGGAAAACTGTACCGTTCACATGGACGCTAGAGGTACAACGCAGCTTCGATAAAGTGAAAGAACTCATTGCCAACTGCACTGCCCTACACTTGTTCGATCCGGACTTGCCAGTTATAGTGTCCACGGACGCTTCCGCGTATGGCATAGGAGCTGTACTTCTGCAGGTGAAAGATAACTTCGAATTCCCCATCGCGTTTGCATCGTGGACTCTCACCAATGCGGAACGGAAGTACTCGGTTGGTGAAAAAGAGGCCTTATCCTGTGTTTGGGCCTGTGAGAAGTGGTTTCAGTATCTCTGGGGCCGCCACTTCACACTGCGAACTGATCATCAGGCCTTAACTACCCTCCTTTCTACTCGCGGTACCGGACGCCAGTCCATGAGAATTGCTCGCTGGGCTGCTCGATTGTTGCGATTCAACTATACTGCTGAGTATCAGCCTGGTGCGCAAAACAGGGTAGCTGATGCACTTTCGCGCCTTCCATTACATCAGGACACTTCTCCAATACAAGATGATGACGAGGAAGTCATCATCCAGTCCATCAGTGTACTTTTGATGGGCACTACGGTACAGAAAACCCAACTACAACAAGCGGTTGCAGCTGACGCGACTCTTTAAAGCGTGATCTCACATGTTAGCAAGGGCTGGCCTAACAAGAAAGATATTGACGACTCACTTCGACCGTATGCAATGGTTCAAGATGAACTTTCGGTCGTCGAGAACTGCCTTATGCGCGGAGAACGTTTTGTCATTCCTGAGAGTTTGCAGGAAAACCCCATTTCGCTTGCACACGAGGCACATCAGGGTATTGTGCGCTGCAAACAACGACTCCGTGACTGCTATTGGTGGCCTTGCATGGACCGTATGGTTGAGGAAGCCATACGTAGTTGCTCCACCTGCCAAACCAATGACAAGACTGCCCGTCCTCGAACTGCTCCACTACAACCTGTCCCGCTGCCAGAGGGACCCTGGCAAAAACTGGCCATCGACATCACCGGACCTTTCGAACATGGACCCCAGGACTGTAGATTTGCTATAGTTCTGATCGACTACTATAGCAAATGGCCGGAAGTTGCCTTTGCTCCGGCTGTAACCTCTCGCACAGTCATTTCGATGCTTTCCTCTGTTTTTGCACGTGAGGGGCTACCCAACGAAATTGTCACTGACAACGGAGTCCAGTTTACTTCTTCAGAATTCCAGAACTTCCTGCACAACTGTGGCATCAAACACTACAAGTCGTCGCTTTACTACCCCAGAGCCAATGGGGAGGTTGAGCGATGGAATCGAGTCCTGAAACAGAGCCTCCAACTTGCCTCTCAAGAGGGGAGAAGATGGAAAGAGGCAGTCACAGAATTACTCGCTGCATATCGATCAACCCCTCACCAAACAACAGGCAAATCACCATCGGAACTACTTTATAACAGGAAGCTGACTACGCGCATGAACATTCGACATGACAAACGTTCACAACAGGATGACACCGAACTTCGTAGTCGCGTGGCACAAAAGCAGAAAAGGTCTCGCGAGTACACGGACACTAAACGCGGAGCAGTGAACCGTAGTTTCAAACCAGGGGATTTTGTTCGCGTAAGAAAACCAAACACTTGTAAAGGGACAAGCAAGTTCACTGCTCCAAAGAAAGTTGTCAAAACTAAGGGGCCTTTCACTTACATGCTGGATGATGGGCGAATCTGGAATGCCTCAAAATTGAGCCCTTGTCCAGCAGAGCTTATGACCCTAGGATCAGGTTCTAACCACTCTCAGAATCCCACAGAACAAAACATGCCTGTGGCAAGAGATGTTCAAACTCGACACTCAACTAGACCTCGAAATCCTCCAGTATGGTCAAAAGATTATAAAATGTAGTGAGACCATTTATACATGCTTAACTTCAGTTTTGTTATTGATATGCAATGGTTTATACACTTGAATACATAATTAGGGCATTAAGTTTCCTCTGGTATTTTCATTTCTCACCACATCTGACACTTGGATTGTTTTACTGTATTTTGGGACTGGTGTGTAACTAAACTTGTGTTGCATTTTGGGATCTGAAATTGTGTGTTAATTAATCAGTTCATACATGCAAGGAAAACAGTTGTTAATTTTATCCAAGTTTACTTGTTGTAAGTGCTCNGAATATATGAGAAGAGTTCTGACTGAGCAGAAGTGCCTTGTGTTCCATGTCTTAAGTTCGTTTAATAGGCAAATATACAACAATGTGCTAAGTATTTTGTTGAGTAGGATGTAGTGAATTTTAAGTTATGAATGGGATGGAATGATGTTCTGGCAATATTTAAGACCTACCCAAGGGGGGATTTTTTAAATCTTAAACACTGCCAAGTCATGGTGAACTGTACTTTTATTGCACTTTTGTCAGATGGTATATTCTTCGGAATATAAGCACTTTTATCAGTCATTTATTGATTGAAATGTAAAATTTGTTTATTTTTTGGCTTCCAGGCCTGATTTTCCGAGGACTGAGTCAAAGATGAATGTGGTATTTTGAGTAGTTTTGTGGAGTCCATTAAAGAATGACTCTACCTACTTCGAATAAACAAGCCCAATGAAACTTGCCCAAGTTTGATTTGATACCTGACCTGTTTTGTGGCCGGTGAGCTGGGAATATATTGTCATTATAGTAGCACATTCAAGGCCACACCGGAGCATGCA